TCACCTCCGGGGCAGGTGGGGATCAAACTCATGTGGAAGTGGCTTTAGCCTCTTAGGGCTGTGCTTTAACCTGCTGCGCCACCAGCAAGGGCCCAAACCTGGCTTCTTTCCATTCTTCCTTGCCTAATGAAATTTCCATCTAGATCTTCTGGCAGTCTTCCTCTGACAACTCATTGTGCTACAAAGGATGGAGTCTGAGGATAGAGGGTCAAGGGCCTGGGTGTGCCACCAACAGCTAGGTGAGCCTGGGTACATTTCTTTTGGCTTCACCCTCCTTATGGGCAAAAATTGTAAGGCACATGCAAGATATTACTCCAGGCTCTCTTTAGACTCCAGAAAGCATCAACTACCCTCACTTCCCCTCCCCCTCCAAGAAGCTCCTGCGTGTTCTCATACTGCTAACAATTGTCTTATTCTTCTGACATAAGCACAAGCAGCACAAAATGTCAGTGTCCAGTTTGACTCTTTTCTCTCTTCCTCAAAGTAAGCCAGCCTCCCAATCCTGCAGGATTTCTTGGCAAGCTCACTTGTCTCCTTTCCTTCTGCTCTCCTCCCCTATTGCCATTGCCTTGATTTAGATCCTAATCTACCTCAAAGGGATTATTTCCACAGCACATTCTCAACCTGCCCTTTCTAGTCCTAAATCCTGAAAGCACAGTTTTCACCATTTCTTTGCCATACTCAAAGAATGTCATTGGAATATTTAAATTCTTTAGCTTCAACTTGTAAAGGCTTCCAGGATCTCTTCCCTGTCTGAGGGTTCAGGCTCACCTCTCTAGGAGTCCCCAGGTCCCCCTATGACTCTAGCCATGTGGCCCACTCTTCCTTGGACAGGTCCATCACCCCTCCCAGTCTTTCAAGTTCTGCTCTTGTTCCTTCCATCTCTTCTGCAAAATAACCTGCCTCTTCCCCTTTCCTGAGGCAGACATTGCAAAAGCAGCCAGTTCAAGGCCATGTCTACCAAAACTTTTCTTGGACATATGCTAGGAGCAAGGCCACACACAAGTGTTGATACAGTCCTAAGAGAGCTCAGAGTTTGGAGGGGAATATGGACAGAGAACATGCAAATAACTTGTGCCTAAGTACCATAGCAGATATCAGTATTTGATACTATGTACATATCAAGTTAGAAGGAAGAGTAAATGATTAGAGGAAGGAAGGAGTTTCCACAGTTTGATCCACAGCCTGAGGATTAGTAAGAGTCCACTCATCTCACATCTCTGAGACAAAGGACTTTCCAGAAAGAGGAAATAACATATGCAAAGGCACAAAATCACAAATGAATAGAAACTGTTGAGTTACTTAGTTTGAGGAACCAGAGATGCAACTGAGAAGCCAAATGATCATCAGCCTCTGCAGTCTTGCTATACAAGATTATAGTTGTTGCATTCAGAGAGGCAGTCTTGGCCCATCAGTGTCTAAATGTCCATCTACAGATGTTAGAGACTGAGAGTTCTACTCTACGTGGAACACCTGATGAAAGCATTACCCACAATAGACACTCATTTCTGTGTGTACCAATGTGTATGTGACAGAGAAGAAATGAATGTAAAATTTATCATGGGCACTCAGCAGAAGTCATAAATTTCCTGAAGACAAAGCTGAGATTCAGCAGCCCCCTGAAACCTTCAAAGCCTCAAGGAGTTGTGGGTCTAAAGAGACACATATTGCTCAAGGACATCTGAAGATCACTCCCCAGCTGTGAGGAGGGTCAGGATGGCCAGCAAAGGTCTACAGATGACACACCTGCCTTGCAGAGTCATTGAGCTCACTTCTGAGACAGCCTGTGGGTTCTGTGCAAATGTAGGCACATAGGTAATAATAAGTGTGGAAACCAAAGAATAAAGCCAGGAAACACAAAGTGGAAGTGCTCAGAGAGGAGGAAGCTGGAAAAATAGTGACTCAGGAAAACAAAGCGTCACCAGGAGTTGCAGCCTGGCTGTCCCACACCAAGTAGTGACAGAGGATTTTTTTCTTCCCCTTAAGTGTCACATCTTGAATCAGGGTGCACAGGTTTTGGAATTTAATAAATGTTTAAATGCCTCATGAACTGTGTTCATGTTAACTCTTCCTTCTCGTATTTTGCAATATGGGATCCTCTAGTTGATTTTAAGCAGAGCATCACACACAGATTTGTATTTCTAAGGGAAAAAAAAATCTGATCACCAGTTAAAAAACAAATTTTAGGCCCTCCCTGGTGGGAGGGCAGCGGGTTAAAGCACAGCACTGAGAATCTAAGGCCGCCTCCACATGAGTTTGAGTCCCGCCTGCCCCGGAGGTGACCGCATGGCGTGGCAGACCTCTCCTGACCCGCCCGCTGCTCCCCTCAGCAGTGTACTTCGTCGATCTGCCTGTTCTGTCCCCCACTCTGTCTCTGGTGAGGCCTCTCACCACCCCTGAGCCTCTGGCCTGCACCCCAGTTCTGTATGCACAAATAAATAAATCTTTAAAAAAAAAATTCTAAATTTTACCCCAAGGACACTACAGTCCAAAAGGGCATGCCATTCCTCACACAAAGCTGCATTCTCTGGGAATTTGTCCTTCTGTCTTCACGTCTCAGCCTGTCTAGTCCAAGACTAACTCTGCCCACTCCCACTCTGCTCAAAGGTTCTATTTCTCTGAAGTCCTGCCCATGTCACTACCACAGTTCCCAAGTAAGTCATTACTTATATCCTGAATGACCTTCTAGTCTCCTAACTAGCTAGCCCACCCCTTTTTTCCTCCGGTGGCCATTGCTTCCTGCAGACCAGTGTCACTGTAGCAATTCCCACAAGGCCTCCCTCAGAATCATCTTAGGGTAACTAGGTAAGAACTTTCCAGGCCTACTTAATCTTTAGAATTTAAAAACTTCCCCAGGCAATTCTGAGGCAAAGCCTTGTTTGCAAACTACTGCTCTTAATCCTAGCTATAGATAGTTAAGGCATCTGCACCACCCAGGGAATTTGCTAGAAGGACAGAAAGTACCAACCCTGACCCAGGAAAGAGTTTGCATTTCAACAATACCCTGAGGTTATTCTTAGGCTTGTTAAAAGTTGAGAAACCAAGCTCTAAAGGGTAGTCTGGCTATTCATTTTACAAATATTTACTGGATTTTCTACAAAGCTGACTAGGGGTTAGGAGGTTGGAAGGGTCAAAGGCCAAGGTCCCTGACTTTATAAACTTACAGAACCATCAAAATCCATGACTGGCTTAAATCCATTACTGACTCCCACATATTCACAGCCCAGACTTCTGCACCCAGTTTTTATGGCCCACTGGGATCCATCACCAGCTTTACTGTCTACCACCCCTCATAGAGGCCAAGATGGACTACTTGTTACTTCTCAAGGCTAACCAGTTTTTGCCCATCTACACAGCTCTCACAGCCACTCACACTCTACCCCCACTGTCTGGAGACACTCAGGAGAAATCCGGAGGTCCATTATCACACCCCTTCTTGAAATTATCCAATATTTTCCCTGCTCATATGAAAGGGAAGTTCCCACAATTCTTTGCTCTTACCCTCATGTTATTAATTTCATTCTCCTTAAACTCTGCCCTCACTCCTGTGGTACCTACCCCAGTAAAGAAGACACCATGACATTCAGTTTGTCTTCTCAGTACATTAAGTTAGTTACTGCACAGCATCAAATCTTCATGTAATAATATTAATAGTAATGTGTTAAATCAAATTATGGATGATTAAATTAAGTGAAAAATACATCAATCTTCCTACCTCACACTTCAAAGTCATTTAAAGATGAATTCAAGCAGAATATAAACGGGTTGCCTATCTTAAATAAAAAAAAATCATGTCAAATAACATTTTATTCTTTTTATACCAATAATAAAAACTGACCTTTCTGAAGATGAATTATGCCCATAGCATAACCTTTCTGTAGTCAGGCATTTAACCCCACCATAGTCTCCATAAATTTGGAAACACTCCAGATTTGTATTGTAATCAATTAAGGAACTTGGAAGAGGAAAGAAAGGTGAGGAGAAAGGAAACTAGACCAAAACAGGGAAAGGGAAATGGATCTATACCAAATATCCAGCTACTCTGAAAGTAAAACTGTAATAGTCTGGATTTGTTTTCTAAGAGGATTAAACACCGACTAGAATGCCTGTTTCAATCCTACCCACACTGAAAGTTCTGGACTTTAAACATACCATCTTATTTTCGGTGAGAAAAACCCGTGGTTGTGGAGTGGGATGTCTTGAGGGAGAGCAGGAGCCCACTTTCAAACAGGACCATTCCCACTCATAGTCTACTGGGGCACAGAGGTTTGTGATTTTGAAAAGCAAGTTGCATTTTTGCATTTAGATAGTTTATTTCAGCAAGGCGTTGCATTAGGACACACAATCCGCCAAACAAATCTGTTTGGACAAATAGACTTAAATATCCCGACCACCTTGGGCTCTCCAGATTACACTTCTGCTTCAAGTATTGAGCAGATCTCTGACATTCCTTCCAGAACTAAGGTGACCGACCACCCTGGCAAGGACAGTCAATAGATACCGGCTGGGGTGGGTGACGATAGGCAGCGAATTTACAGGCGTTACCTCCTCCTCCCAGACTTCGGCGCAGGGAAGGGGAGGAGCGCCCTGGACTCGCGCTTGGACAGCTCTGGGACCCTTACAAGCAGTGCCCCCACGTCCCAAGTAGTTCTTGTATCGGGGACTCCAAGTTTCCCAGGAAATGCCCCGACCTGGGCTGCTAGTCCGGACCGCACAGGGGGATCTGAGGCGTAGGGAGAGCCCACTGACCTGGGTGCGGGACTCCTCCTCGGGTGGCTCAGGTGTGCGGGCCGCTCCCGTGTCCCTCCCACCTCCGAACATGAGAGCAGAGAACCGAGCTGCCGGCCACTGACCCACCGACCAACTGACCCACCAACCAGCGGACCGACCGGCAGCGGCCAGGTCTGGCGCCCACGTGACGGGGGCGGGGACTCCTGGGAGGCTCGTCTCACGGATCCTCTCTTTAGCCACCCTCCCCGCCCCCCACCCCGCCCTCCACCCCCACCTTTCCCTTGGGACCGCCCCTCTGCCACTCCTCCTCCCTCCTGGGCTCGTGGCGACCGGCCCGGACCAACCCGCCTAAGGTTCCCGTTCTTCAGGACCGGCTCCGGCAACCCCGCCCCTTCGAACCTGCCTTCGTCCCGCCCCTCCCCGCCCCCTGGAGCCCCAAACCCCACCTCTCTCTGAAGATCACGCCCCCTCCCTAGATCCCGGCGCTTTCTGGCCACCACCCACCCTACACCCTTTCGTCCCCGGGAAGGCCGCCGGACTGTCCCCAGCTCTCCAGCTCGCAGTCTTCTGCGCTTATCCAGTCTCTCAGAGCCGTTGCTTGGGCGTAGGGAATGAAAGCACAGAAGCAGAAAGGGAAATTGTGTCGAGAAGCGCGAAGAGAGAGAAGCCAGAGAAAAAATGATGAGAGACATTTGCAGCGTGGTAACCCTTGGGGTGTCCGGATTTCCCGGATCCCTGCGACCCGGTCGAAGTTGATGTTGGCTTGAAGGCAGCCTTGTAGCTGAGACCCCTAGCTAGAAGGCGCTGAAGTCACCTGAGTACGGTCACCCTTGAACCCTCGACTTGGGATGGAGGTCCCTCTAGTGGTCAGCGCCAAACTGGCGCTTGTGGTCTTGTGAACAACTGTGGACAAAAAATACGTCCTGTGCCCAGCACCGGATAAAGTTCCACAGGCTCAAAACCTTTAAGGCTGTCTGACCACAAAGATTCTACAATAGGGCAGGACTAGACCCTGGGTCCCTAGTCTGGGGGCTCCCCTACACGGTAGAAGGCCTAAATTTCCATTAGTTGAATTGCCAGGTTGTTGCCTCTTCTGGGCCTCCGAAGACTGGTTACACAGTTCAGCTGGTTAAAATCCTCGGTGGCATCGATGCCAGGGGCTCTGGCATCGTCCCCAACTCTAGCAGGCGTTACTATAGCCCTGACCTTAGTCTTTTTAGAGATTTCCAGACAACTCCACAAGACACATCCTTTTCCAAATTACCCTGGTGGTCTGAAATTACCAGTGTGCCCATAGCCTTTTGTACATGTGACCAGAACTTAAGCCACCTGGCAAATATGAGCCTCTGGCCACGGCAGGAAGCCAGCCAGAAGCAGCCAGAGGCAAAGCCAGCAGAGGGCTGAGGCCCACAAGACTGGTGTTACAACAGGACACCCTCCAGTTCTCTTTCACTTCCTTAAAATAGCAGTGGGGAAGCTTTAGTAGGCCCAGGCTGCTACGGTTCACATGAGTTCATGGGTGTTTCCAAACCCTACATGTTCTTGCCTGAGCAAACCCACTGCCCTGAACCCAAACCCCAAAAAATGCTAGCTTGTTCTTAGAACTATATAATTATTTTCTAAAAATTACTTTAAAAATGGTAAGATACCAACTTTGAAGTTTATTGGCACCACCCTAGGGAAGGAAGCTTTAAAAAATATTATCTGAGCCCCACCTCTAAAGGTTCCTTTTTAATGGTCTGGGCTGTGCCTAGCGTTAGGATTTTTAAAAGCTCCTCATGTGATTCTTATGGCCAGTCAGTTTAAGAACCATGGATGTAGGTTCTAGGGACTTCAGTATCCACTAAAACCCAAAGGAAGACTCTAGAACTGAGACATTCACATGAAGGAAGACTAGGAGTGTTCAGGAGTGTTGTTCTGTCCTGACGTCCAGCAAACCAAGTGGCACATTCCCAGGGCTTCCTGGAGACAATGCCTTGACCTAAAGAGTGGTGGCAGTGCAGGAATGTGGGCACCAATGTGACTGTCACTGGAAGGTATGCGCTGCAGGACTGTCAAACCAAAGCATATGGCAGATGAAAGGCACACAGCATGTGATAGTCCTCTCTCTGGGCCTCCAAAGGAGCGAACTGCTCAAAGCCTCACACTGACACCCCACTCTCCCCTTCCACGGGAGGTATTCATATTTCAGACTCCTGTGTACTGTGTCCCCAAACCCACAGGGTGGGCACTATCATCTTTATTTATTTGTACCTGCCTCATTCCACAATGGGCCGGGGCTCTCTGTATTACCCACCAGGTCTCTGGGTGATTGTGCTGTATTTGTGGGATAATTCCATTCTACTCAAATGCCATAGGGAAGGAAAGACCTCTCTTTACTGCCCAGGGCTCAGCCTGGGCTTGGCAGTGTCAGAAAAACAGCTGCCACACACCAATCCAACCCTCTCATGTGACCAACCTGGAGAGAGAGGTCTCACCACATGATACTGACTGGCACCAGCAACTGCACTGTGACCCCCCGCAAGGCTGGAGCTGGTGAAGGTGTGGGAGAGGTCTTGAAGAAGACCCCCTAGGGAGCCCAGCCCTGGTGGCAGGAAGTCACTTGCCTGCTCTCTGACTCCATCCAGATTCCAGAATGTTTACCAGAGGCCTCAGTGTGTGGGGACTGCCCACAGGCAGCATTCCCTGAGAGCTTTTAAGCTGAGGGCAGGTAGGCAAATATGAGCAGGTGAGGTTGATTTGCTTGGTGTCAGTTTTATTATATCACTGTTTCAAGCAAGAAGAGAGAAGCAGGGAGAGGTAAGACAAGGCTAGAGTTTAAGGTCCTCTCTCCCATAGGGTGTTTTCTGGAGGAAGCAATTTTTGAAAGACCTATCCAAGGTCTTATGCAGACAAGAAAACTGGCTAAAGGCAGACTATTTAGGCTGAAATGATGAACATATTGCTTGTCAAAGGTTGTAGGGACAAACATACATGGGTGAGGCTTCCTTGGAACTGGCAGAATTTTCTAACTCTATCGTCCTTTTGTATCTGTTACATTGAATAGCTTTCCTAAACTCACCTCACCTCCAATTACAAAAACTTCACTATTTATCTTGAATTATAAAGCAATTATAAAGACTTATTCTACTATCTGTGAGGTGAGAACAACTGAGGTGACATAGATGCGTGTACTTTGTAACTACACCATGTTTCAAATGTTCATATTTTTGCTTTATTATTACAGCTACCTAGCTGAGGGGTGAGGATGGGCTAGGGAAATTCAAGATTAAGTGTCAAAAAGAAATCATACTAGTGAAGTAGATCAGGTAAAAGGAGTCAAGGGTAAGGTGAAGGATAGAATTGGATTTCTAGTGGTGAGCTTAATGTAGTATATACACTTTATGTAAAAGGATGCACACCTGAAACTTATATAATGCTATATGTTATTCAATATGTTTTTAATAAAAAACTTGTACTTTAAACATTTTTAAGAAAAGAAGACATAATACTTTAGTCAGGCAGTGAAAAGTAGAAGCGGGAAGAACTTGAAGCAAAGGCCAGAGGAGAAAAAAGCCAAGAAGGATTATGGGGGCCCTACATTTCTAATTGCTGGGGTTAGGGGAGAGTTAAAATAAATGTTCATAAAAGAAAAGGCTCAAAGTAAGCTGGATCAAGGCTTTGAGAGCCAGGAAGTTTGGATGGGTGATGGAAGCTGTTGAAAATTTCTGAATGTCAGATTCACATTTAAGCTGTTGGAGATACCCAAAGCAGCAATATCTGGGAAAGGAAACATATACATCCCCCTTCTGGGCACTATCCCTGGCTGTGGTTAGTGACACAAGGGGGCTGTGGCCTCCATGTCCTGGAGAGCGGCAGCCACGGCCAGGTTCTCCCTCCTGGCTGGAATGCATTAGTCTAGAGGCTTCTTTCTCTTAGTCTGGAGTTTGTAAATGATCTGGTTTCCATCATTCCAGGCATAGAGCTGCTTATCTCGGGGGTTGTAATGGATCACAGAGTGACTTTTGGCCCGCCTGGGGAAGAACAAATTGGGCAGGTCCTCCTCACCGATAGTGCCCAAGGGGTCATAGACACAAGTAATGCGATGGGTACTACCAGTACTGTAGACCACGTAGAGAACTCCGCACAAGAGAAAGGAGGCCTCAGCTTCCTGGCTTGGGCATGGCGTATCCCAGGAGTGCTCCACTCCCAGAGTACCAGGTTCAATCTTTGTGAGAACCAAGTGGCCAAAGACACCTGGGCCTGAGTGCACAGCCCAGAGCCCGTGCTCATCCACGGCCAAGTCAATGTAAATTGAAGGGGAGTGCTGGTAGGCGGGAGCTCGCCCCGCCCCTCCCGGGAGCAGCAGTCTATCCTCCACAGTCCTCTTCTGCAGATTGTATTTGATTATCTCGTTGGAAGTCCCCTGCCTATGAAAAAATAGAAAGCCTTTGTAAATCACCTGCCCGGTTCCTTGCCAGGAATGTGTGAGGATTAATTTTCGGGGGGCTGGTTTGGTGCTGTCCTCCATGAATGCCCGTATGTTTGCAAATTCCCAAACAGTGTTGTTTCTGGATCCAGCTAAGAAGTAAACCTTTGGAGAGGTGCCGATGACATCTTTCATCCAAGACCCATCCATGTCCATAGTTCTCTTCACTATTTTCAGGGACTTTATCTCCATCAGCATGTTGTCACAGCCTGGCCAAAAGGAGAAAAAGAGGGAGGTTGCGTGATAAACAGAATGCTTCCTCGCTCCCCACCCCTATCAGCATCTAAAATCAAGTTATCACATGGAGATATCCACGATGAAGTATTACCTTTCTGTTATCTTTAATTTTGCCTTCTTTCACATGAAGGAGAGCTAGTTCCTTAACTTGTAAACATCTTCCTCTATTAAAATACAATTCTCCCTCAATTAGGCATGCTTTTCTAGTTAACTCTCTTTCCATCATTTTATGAGCTCAATTCCCCCAAAGAACAGTTCATACTCTATCTATTCTCTCTCTCACTTCTTTTTCACCATACCTCCACAGGAACTACTCTTCACCTTGCTACAAGGGGCTTTGTAACTGAAAATTCAGCACTGTTATGTTCATCTCTTACTTGATCTTTCTGTGTGACATGACAGTATTGCTCAGTTCCCGCTTGAGACTTCTTTTCCTTTATCTTTGTGTCCCACTATCGCGCCCCTCCTACCGGTTTCTTCTCCGCTTATGACGGAGACAGTATCTGTGTTCATCAAATACCACTTCCTTTCCTACTTGCCTGGCCACACATTCACAGCCCCCTTTGACTGAGGCTGTGTCCATGGGTCTGTGGTTTGTTGATGGGAGGTAGACAGAAGTGGGTTAAATTTCTGCCACCTTGGTCCATAATTATGCTGTGTCCTAGATGACCTTGGAATTTTGGAATGCTCACGGAGACCAAGTTAAAAAGAAATGTGGGCCAAGATGTCATTAGTCCTACTGGTCATTTCAGAAGAAGGTTATAACTGAATTGTTGCCCTGTAGTTGGGACTGCCCTGTTTGAGAGTCTAGCGAAGGGCAAGAGTGTCATGGAGGCAGGCAGTGCTGACTTCCCTACAAGTCTCTCAGATCCTGCTAATGTCTGCATTGTAGGTTGGAGAAAATGATCTTGGTCCTCTTTCACTGACTGCTGGAGGTGGGGTGGGGAAATAAGAATCTGGTACACAACTTCTCTCTAAGGACAGAGAGAATCCTTCCAAACTCTTTCACAGGCTTTGCTATAAGAAACCAGAGTCCTAATTGGTTATCAAATTCTTCTTAATAACTGTTGTGGTTCTCCAGGTCAACACAGGTTATCTAGAGTCAAAGAACAAGAAACAGGGCACCAGGTGTGAAACTGGACACAAGGAAGGGAGGTAGACAGCCAGGGAAGGCCCAAGCAACCGGCATTCATTAATAGCATAGCTATTAATATATACTATAGGGGTTCTCTAGCCCCCATCACACCTTTCTCATTCTTTTTTTTTATTATTAATTTATTTATGCATGCAAGAACTAGGGAGCAGGCCAGAGGTGCAGGAGGTAAGACAATTCACCAGAGACAAAGTCGGGGGCAGAACAAGCAGATGGATGAAGCAGCGGGTAGAACAGGAGAGGTTTGCTGTGCCATGTGGGTCATCTCCCTGGGTGGGGATCAAACTCAGGCCATAGTGGTGATGGCGCTGAGCCTTAGCCTCTAGGTTACCAAAGAGGCTCCACATCTTTTACATTCTTATATGGAGCTCTTCCATTTTACTTCACTAAGAAGACAGAAGTATCAGAGAACTATGTCATCTCTTGCCTGGCTTATATTGTAGTCTTCTAAGCAGTGGTGACATATACATCCTGAATACCCTTTGTCTGTCCCTGTACCCAGCAAACTTTGGGAATTATTTTTCTTTTTTAAGATTTACTTTTTATTTACATATGTATAAAAGAACTGAGCTGTGGCCCTCCCTGGTGGCGCAGCGGGTTAAAGCACAGCACTGAGAATCTGAAGCCACTTCCGCATGAGTTCGATTCCCGCCTGCCGCCTGCCCCGGAGGAGACCACATGGCGAGCCAGAACTCTCCTGACCCGCCCGCTGCTCCCCTCAGCAGTGTACTTCGTCAATCTGCCTGTTCTGCTCCCCACTCTGTCTCTGGTGAAGCCTCTCACTGTCCCTGAGCCTCTGGCCTGTACCCCAGTTCTGTATGAATAAATAAATAAATCTTAAAAAAAAAAAAAAAAAGAACTGAGCTGTAAGCTAGAGGCGTAGGAGGTGAGAGGATTCACCAGAGACAGAGTGGGGAACAGAACAGGCCGATCTAGTGACATACACTGCTAAGGGGAGCAGCAGGTGAGACAGGAAAGGTCTGCTGTGCCATGTGGGTCAGCTCCCTGGCTAGCTGGGGATCGAATTCATGCTGCAGTGGGTGGCCATATTTTAATAGTATTGAGGCTTTACCCTCCGAACCACCAGGGAGTCCCCTCAGGGAGCTTTGCAAAATGTACATGGGTCATATCTCATGTCTTACCAAAACTCTCCATATGATTGGAAGGTAAAAACTTGAGCTTTATTCTGAGTATACTTAGGAAGCCTCTGGGGCGTCTGGGTCAGACATGATAGCTTCATGGCTTCCTCCCTCACTTCCTTTGGGTTTATTTTATTTTTTAAGATTTATTTTTTATTAATGAACACAGAACTAGGGTACAGGCCAGAGGTGGTGAGTGGATTCACCAGAGATAGTGGGGAGCAGAGTAGGTAGATTGACTAAGTACACTGCTGAGGGGAGCAGTGGGTGAGACAGGAGAGGTCTGCTGCACCATGTGATCACCTCTCGGAGGGGATCAAACTGGCACTGAAGTGTCTGCAGCCAGCTTGCAGTGTTGTGCTTTAACCTGCTGTGCCACCAGGGAGGGCCTCCATTGAGATTATTTTCAAATGTCCCCCTGATCATTAAGGCCTTTTAAAACTACACTCTGATAAATGGCAGCTCTTTTCTCCAGCTCTTCATAAGCCCTTTACACAGTTAATTGTTCTCCATCGTGCTTATTATCTTCTGACATATTATGCATTCCTATTTGTTTACTGTTTGTTTGACTGCTCTCTATAGTATCTAAACTCGATGAAGATATGTGCTTTGTCTTGTTTTATTCACTGCTGTATGTCTTGGCCCTAGAATAATAATTGGCATATAGTAGGACATAAGTTGCTGAATAAATTAATTTTCCAACCACTAAATGTACAACCATTGTACCAAATCTTCCCTTCCGGCTCCCTTTATTTTCACACTGGATCTCATCCCCTTTTATCTACTCAAAGATTTAGCACCCGAAATGATCTCCTCTCTCCAGGCTCAATAGTTTCTCCCTCCCTGCTGGATTATTGCCCTTAGTAATTGAACAGGCTGTAAAATCACACATCCTGAATAAATTTTCTAGAGTGGTTTCACTTTTCAGTTCTACTTTATATTCTACTTGAAAGGAGAGTTACAGACCATCCAATTACCCCTAGGTGAGACTAATCAGTTCATTTCTCCACGAGTCTAAGCTCCCCCATCTACACCATGTCAGTTTTTATCAAGGTCATCAACAACTGCCATGATCCAAGGATCTGTTCTCAATCATTACCCTAATTAATTCTCCACAAAATTGAATTACTTCATTACTACCTCCTCTTGCAACTCTTTCTTTTGGAATCCCCACCTCCCTCTTGTGTATCTTTTCATCTTTGGAGATTTTTCCCTTGACATCTGCTGTTAGTCCTTGCTCACTCATCTTCACCTCACACCTCTTCTCTATCCACAATGATTTTCCAAGTCATTTTAGTCATTCAGCTCTGCGTGTGTGGGGAGAAAGGATGCCCTGAATGAACTCCACAGATAAAGGTTTTGTGGACTCTGCCCCATGCCAGACCACAGAGATCAACACACTGGGAACTACAAATCCCATAATGTCATCATCACAGAAGGGAGGATTGCTGGAAACTGAGGGTAGAGTTAAGCAGCCATGGCTGGTATCTCACCAGACACATGGGTCTGGGTGGGTGTGGGGGGGTGTGTGTGTGTGGTGGTCTCTTGGCTCTTGGCTTTTCGCCAGCTATCAGCATGCCAATGGGATTCCAACTCAGTGGAACTGGTAGAACACATTCATCTACCTATCACCCTCTTTTTCTCTCTGAGTATTCAGTTCTTTATTTTCCCCTTCTTTTGTAAAGAAATGCTTTATTAACCTTTTTTGTGTGCCTACAGTTGAATTTTATTATAAATCCCTTTAAGCGTACAGGTGAGGACACACAGTCAGGCAACCTATTTCACATCAGGGTTGCCTTGTAACATGTGTACATTCTAAATGATGATGAATTCTGAAGATGTATCTTCATTCTCTTTCTGATGTCTACTCTGCCCCAAACCCATTTATCAGACTGTCTGTTCAATGCCCCCACTAGATATATGCAAACTTAACTGATTCAAAACAGGCCTCTTTTCCTAGATGCTCTGTCTCCTTATTCTCCCTATTTTGGGTAAGAGTCTCAACCAAGTTTGTTACCTAGAAGTCATGCCTGCTTCCTTTCCTTCTATTCCCCCACTGCTAGCAAGTTCTGATGGTAACTTATGTTGACATTAGGATTTTACATTTAAAACACTCAAATACATACCTCGCCTCTTGCTAAGAACCCTCACCTCTGCCTAGACTGCTATAACAGTCTCCTAACAGCTCTGATTTTATTTTATTAATAGTTTACTTACAAAGAGCTAACCCACGTGGCACAGCAGACCTCTCCTGTCTCACCTGCTATTCCCCTCAGCAGTGTATTTCAGTAGATCTGCCTGTTCTGCTCCTTACTCTGTCTTTGGTGACTCATCACACCCCCTGCACCTGGCCTGCAACTTAGTTCTATGCAAAAATAAATAAATAAAATATTTTACAATTAAAAAGTAGTTTATCTACAGGACATTCTTTGCAAACAAGTACCAGTCATCAGTTTAAAAGCATAAGTAATGCCATTTACCAGCTAAACCCTTTTTCCTGTCACATATGGAACAAAATCCTAGCCCCTTAACCTTGCCTAAGGGACTTCCATGACGCAGCCAGCCCTGTCTCTGGGATTTTATTCTCTCACAGTGATGTGACTGCATGTGGCTTTTTTGGTGTTCCGGGAGGTGCCAAGTTTGTCTGCTTCGGGATTCTGGTGTTTGCAGTCCTTACACC